AGTCAGAGCAAACACAGTGGAGGTAAGAGCCAAAAGGGGAGCCTGTCCTGCTTCCTCGTGCCCGTGAGAGGTGGTGGTTGCTCGAGAGCCAGTGGGATAAATGGGATTGCCTTCTGCACATCTTCCCCCCGCTGAAAATAGCTGGTGAGTTGTGCTGCCTCGTCTGGGAGAAGGCTGTGGCAGACTTTGAGTTAGAGCAGGTTTAGGGCACGGTTCGGCTCAGTCACTGTGCCTCGGCTGTGCTGTGATGGGTCGGCAGCTGCGCGGTGACTTCTTTACGCCTGACCAGTGGCCTTCCAGGGAACGCTTAAAGAGCAGCACTGTAAATGCTGAAAGAGCCTCTGCGTGTTTAAGCAAACAAGGTGGCTGTCTGGACAGCAGTTCTCTTTCCATCTTGTTAGAACGCCTGTATGAAACATCTCTGTCATGCCCTGACACCACCTTGGGAAGCACCGCAGCGTTGGGCTCGTTTGGTTCCTGCCGAACTGTGGTATCTAAAGATCTCTGGGTGCTTTGCCTTTGGGCAGGAGGACGGGGCCAGACTCTTTTCAGTGGTGCCCAGTGACAGGACAAGGGGTAATGGGCACAAACTGAGGCACAGGAAGTTCCGTCTGAACATGAGGAGGAACTTCTTCTCTCTGAGGGTGACGGAGCACTGGAACAGGCTGCCCAGGGAGGTTGTGGAGTCTCCTTCTCTGGAGATATTCAAGACCCGCCTGGACAAGGTCCTGTGCAGCCTGCTGTAGGTGACCCTGCTCAGTTTGTGCCCGTTGCCCCTTGTCCTGTCGCTGGGCACCACTGGAAAGAGTCTGGCCCCGTCCTCCTGCCACCCACCCTGCAGATATTTAGAGGCATTTCGAAGGTCCCCTCTCAGCCTTCTCTTCTCCAGGCTAAATAAGCCCAGCTCCCTCAGTCTCTCTTCATAGGAGAGATGCTCCAGTCCCCTCCTCATCCTTAAAACATCCTTATGTTTCCTTAAATTTTCCCTCGCCGCCGTGATCAGCGCGATGGTCTCTGTCGTAGCCAGCTGCTGCTTGTGGCGTTGCTGCCTGCTGTTGTCTCCCAGCTGTCTGTGGCTGGACGCTTCACCAACAGCTGGAGCACAAAAGGCCTGTGAAGCCTGAGCACGCTGGGAAAGCGCGAGGTTTCTCGGGATTTGTGTGGTTTTCCTCTGTGAGAGGCACTCTCAGCCTCTCCACCCCCCCTTCCCTGCGCAGTTCTGTAAACACCTCTCGGACGTAATCCCTTTTCCTCCTTGTGCGCTCTCTCTTGAGCTGTCGCTGCCTCCGTCGGCTCATCCAGCCCCTTTATCAACTCGCTGGAAGCCTTTTCACAGAAGTGGCTCTCTGGCAGAAAGTGGAGTGACCTAAAATCACCTGTGAGTCTTGGAAAGCGGTTGTCTGCCAGGGCTGCGCAGGGCAGCGTCATTTTCGAAGAGCTCTCCCTTCGCGGGCGCTGCGGGATGGCGTTCGCAAAAGCCCTTCGTAACGCGAGCGCTTGGCCCTTTCTCGCTCCTCCCTGCTAGGATTACCAGGCCATCGTGGACGCGGAGTGGAACATCTTGTACGACAAACTAGACAAAATCCACAAGTCGGGAGCCAAAGTCGTCCTGTCCAAGCTTCCTATCGGCGACGTGGCGACGCAGTACTTTGCGGACAGAGACATGTTTTGTGCTGGCCGTGTCCCGGAGGAGGATCTCAAGCGAACCATGATGGTGAGCTGCCTTCTTTCAGAATAAAGATTTTTGGTTTAATTTTGACAGCTCCAGGCTGGTCATTCTCAAACCAGGGCAGCAGTTGGTGACTGAACACGCTGTTCCATACAAAGAAGTAAAATTAAAATCGCATGATTTTTTTGCTGAAGTGGTTATTATGCATATACTGCCAAAGCTGTTCGTTGACAGAATGAACAATTACACACTAATTGCGTCTGCACTGCTTTTTTGTTTCTCTGACATTATATCATAGAATCATAGAAAGTTTTGGGTCGGAAGGGATCCCTAGAGGTCATCTAGTCCAACCCCCCCGCAGCGAGCAGGGACACCGCTAACGAGATCAGGGTGCTCAGAGCCCTGTCCAACCTGGTCTTGAATGTTTCCAGGGATGGGGCCTCCACTACCTCTCTGGGCAACCCGTGCCAGTGTTTCACCACCCTCACTGTAAAGAATTTCTTCCTTATATCCAGCCTAAACCGACCCTGTTTTAGTTTAAAACCATCACCCCTCGTCCTGTCACTGCTGTCTCTACTAAAAAGATTGTCCCCATATATAGGGTCCATGCATTGTGTGGGTAGGGGTTTATTTTCCCTAGTTCTTGCCTGTTCCATTTTCAGTGTGGGGTTTTTTTTCCCCCCCCGAGCTTTCTTTTTGTGGCTGCTGGACTCCAGCGCCTGTGAGTCAGCACTTAGAAGCAGCATAATCTTATTTTGCTGTCGAGGATTATTTCGGATGTTGGTAGCCTGCCTAGATGGGAGGAGAGAAGGATTTCTTTTCCTGAATCTGGCCTGCAGGGTGGTTTTGCATCAGCTGAAGGGCCGGGCTGTCTCTGAAGAGTGGGAACCTGCTGGGCAAATTCGTCTTGTTTGTCAGCATTGGTAACGCCGCGCTTCATCTCCTTTCTCTGCAGGCTTGCGGCGGTTCCATTCAGACCAGTGTCAATGCCCTGTTGGATGATGTCCTGGGCCGATGTGACCTCTTTGAGGAGACTCAGATTGGAGGAGAGAGGTAAATAAATACACCAGCTGTGAACCTGCCTAAGCGCTCTAGCATTAGTTGGAGAAGTTAGGGTCTGAGCCTTGGCAGGTTTGAGCATCTCGCAAGGCGGTGGCGTGAAAACAAGGTTGTGTTATTGCTGCTTTTTATGAGGCTGAGGAAGGGGGTAAGAGTAAGCTTTCATCTAAATCTTACCTCTCTTATATGCTTTTAAAAATAGATATTTATTCACCAATGTCTTCTAGGAAGCATAGTGGTATGCTTTCATTCGTAACTTCAAAGCAATGCGTTTTGGGGTTGATTGTGGCACTCATCTGATGTCCCACAGTGACACTTGACCATCAGGGCCAATGGAGCTGGGTACGACACGGCGGGGTTCCTCCTGTCACTAGAGGAGAAGCCCTCTTTGGGGCTGTCTGCTGACATCTGCGTTCCTGCCAAGCGGAAATGAGAGCGCTGGTTTAGCGCAAAGCCCGAGCAGCGGGAAGAGGGTGGATTTTCCTGGGTCAGCTGGAATTTCACTTGTACATTGCCTAGCTCAGGGTGTGATAGGGGCACTGCGTAGGGTGAAACGGCTTCAGTCGTGCATCTGGCTTCACAGAATCACAGAATGGTCGGGGTTGGCAGGGCCCTCTGTGGGTCCCCCAGCCCAACCCCCTGCCCAAGCAGGGTTCACCCAGAGCAGGCTGCACAGCACCACGTCCAGGGCTTGTCAAGAACTTCTCTGTTCCGGCACTGTCGTATCGGTGCAAAGCCTCTTCAGCTGCAGCGCTGCTCCGCCGTCACCGTAACCCTTCTTGCCTTGTGCCATTGGCAGGTATAACTTCTTCACGGGCTGCCCGAAGGCAAAGACGTGCACCATAATCCTGCGAGGGGGTGCTGAGCAGTTCATGGAAGAGACGGAACGGTCCCTGCACGATGCCATCATGATAGTCAGGAGAGCCATCAAGGCAAGGACCGGCGGAGATACCTCCCTGCTGGATTGGCGCTGCTGATGGGAGCTGGCACAGCTGTAGCTCCTTCTAGAAACCTTTTCACACACCAGCACTTGGCTGAGGTCTCTGTGGAGACTCCAGAGTGCGCAGACAGGCAGCGTCGGATTGATTAACTCGAGCGCTGCTCAGCAGCCAAGGCAGCGTTGTCTCTGCACTGTTGCCAGCTGCTTTCCAGGCACGCCTGGCTTTTGCCTTCTCTTTAGAAGAAGACTTGGGCTTCACTTGGGCTTGCAGGGTTGTGGTGTGTTCTGTAGACACCTCCGTCCTGAAGGGAAAACAAGATTTTGGGTAGACCCTCAGTGAATTTCAACAACAGGGTTGATTCCACGTGCGTGGCAGCGGGCGTTAAAGCCACTCCCTCCCTCAGGGACCAGGCTGAGGGGTGACTGTCCCCGGGCTGCGAAGGTGGGCTGGGAGCCCCGAGAGAGGAGTCCGAGGCGCACGTGGATGGGAGCTCTGCTCGTGGAGCTGCTGGTGCTGGGCGATAGGTGCTGCCTAACTGCGGGCGTTTCTGGGTTATGCATAATAATGTGTTAACGTGTTGTCTGGTTAAAAACAGCTTTGAGGCTGAGTGCCCTGAGGGGATGGGAAGAAACGTGTCAAGATTTTTTGGAAACTGTTTTGCTTTCAGAAAGAACATCGTGATCTCCCTACGGAAGCAAATAAGGAGGGGGAAAAATATAGCAGAGCTTGGCTGCGAAGCGCTGCTGCAAATAGTTTTGAACGTTTTACGGAAATGAGGGAAACTTGCCCAGCAAAAGGGAGCTGTGGTCTGCTGTCCCTCCCCTGGCACAGCGTCCCCAAACCACCCCTTTAGCTTGGGAGGAGCTGCTGGTGGCTCCCATGGGGTTCTTGGCCCCTTCCTGAAGCTCCCAGCAAGGGCTGGCAGCAGCCTGGGCTATGGGTTCCCCTGGGCCTGGAGTGTCTGCGTCGCCCTGACCTGCAGTGCTCGCAGGAAAGGACCCTTTCTTGCTCTCCCCCTTCTTGGAATTGAGAGTTTCCCCTCTTCTTCCAGAACGACTCGGTTGTTGCCGGCGGCGGTGCGATAGAGATGGAGCTTTCCAAATACCTCCGGGACTACTCCCGGACCATTCCGGGCAAGCAGCAGCTGCTGATCGGTGCTTACGCTAAAGCCCTCGAGATCATTCCCCGGCAGCTCTGCGACAACGCCGGCTTCGATGCCACCAACATCCTGAACAAGCTGCGAGCCAAGCACGCGCAGGTGGGTGCCCGTCCCCGAGCCGAGGGCTGCTGGGGAGACCCAGCGCCGTGCGCGATTTCCTGCGTTCTGCCTTTATTTCTTGAGCCTGATGGGTCCGGTGTAACTCAGCTAAGCCCATGTTAGGCTTCTGTCCTCTCTGTTCAAACGCCGTGTCTTGTTTTCAGATCAAGTGTGGGCTCGGTGCAGGTTTCTGTAAAATGATTTGTTTTCCCTTTGATCGCAGCTCTCGGGTGACTTCCAGAGCTGGGCGTTTTGATTTGCTTTCTGAAAATGCATCGTTTGTCAGGAAGGTGCCTTCTATATTAAACATTAAAGTAATTAGAGGATAAAAGTTGGCCGAGCCCTGTTTTCCAGAGGGGCTGCAGGTCCTGATCGCTTGCCATCACCTCCAATCACAGAATCGCAGAATGCTCAGGGTTGGCAGGGACCTCTGTGGGTCACCCAGTCCAACCCCCTGCCCAAGCAGGGTCACCCAGAGCAGGGGGCACAGCACCGCGGCCAGGCGGGGCTGGAATATCTCCAGAGAAGGAGACTCCCCAGCCCCTCTGGGCAGCCTGGGCCAGGGCTCCGGCACCCTCAGAGGGAAGAAGTTCTTCCTCGGGTTCAGCTGGA